CTCAGTGCAGTCGGATTATTTTTCTTCCTTTGAGCAACATTAAAAGCTCAGCAAATCCATCTTTATTTTGTGGTCTTTTCATCCCATTAAAATGTTGCCATCCCTTTTATGGTATTGGCAGTGAATCACAGAGGTTCCTTCCTGCATAAAGAAACAAGGTATATTGATGAAAATGAACATTTTCTTTTCTGTTATCTAGGGGCACATTATTGAACCAATTAAATGTTACCATTGACTTCACTGGCAACAGGATCAGAGATTTGGGTTTGACTGACTACTGCCTTGCATCTGATGTGGTCCTGTACAGAAGCATAACAGGCAACTTGGTTTCCTGGGCCTCAGCAGTGCATGGGGCAGCAATAGCCAAAAACTGTTATTTTTACATGCCCCTTTCCTTCCCTACTCCCAGTTTGCCCTGGGGGCTGCTGCCCTGGTCACCCTGCCCTAGTTACAATACAGGTCCTTTACACCTGTGTGTGACAAAGGAGCCTACCTGTGGCCAGTCACCGTACCAGCTGCCCCTCTGTCTCAGGCAGTCTACCCTGTCTTTCCTGCCATGACTTGTTGGGATATACAAGATGTAATAAATGGGAGGGTGCTTATTTAATGCCCCAATGCCATGGGGTATACACATGGCTCCGACCTTCCCTTACCATGTCCTATGCCTCACAGATGGCATCAAAAATTGTAGTAGCTCCAGCCACAGGCCGAGCCAAACTCTGCCCCTTGCTGGGTCTCTCATAGTCAACTCATTCACTCCACCCACTCTCACAGGGCCTCATTCACTCTGCCCCCATTCAGAGGACCTCATTCAACCCACCCTGCTCCATGAGCAGCCTTTTTTGGGCCATCAGGCTTGCCTACTTACATTCTGGGTGATCCCGTGTAGCCCTTCAGGTGCCACCATGCACCCTACTCTACATGGCAATGGCCCTTCTGCCTAACACTAGGCTGACTTTAGCTACTAGCTCGTCTCTGAGCAATTGGCTCTTACTAACACTCTTTTGGGGCTGGTCCATGTGCAGCCCTTCAGGTCCGCTTCAGCTGACCCTACTCTGCAGGCCTTGGAGCAGTCCTTCAGGCTTGCCTCAGCAATCCCTGTCCTACACCCATTACACACAGTCCTTCAGGCCCACCTCGGCAAACCCTACTTTGTGTGGGACTCTACTTATTCCTGCCCCACTTCCTGTGGGGATTCTCTACCCCCTCACTGGGGCCAATACTATGCCACCTTCCTGGGGCTTGGGGTCTTACACCCCCCAGAGGCTCAGGTGCTTCTCCTTAGGTGTGCCTGGCCCCACTGTCTCTTCATAACCACCGGGTAGTGGGGCTGGGGTTATAAGGTGCCCCTACTCACCTTTCACTGGGGAGGCAACTGGCCTGGCATTTCTGAGGAGCTACCCTACCACAGGCAGCCCCACCAGGCCATCCTTCCCTAGCAGGATGCAGTTTCAAGTCATACCCAGGACCATACTCATCCTCATAGCTCCTGCCCTTGCCTTCAAGACGTTCCTGAGGACCCACTCAGCTGGGTGGTGCCTTTCCAGCTGCCAGGAGCAGATGGCTGGATCAGCCCTGAGGGCCTTAGCTAAGATGGAGTCCACTCAGCCCTCTTCTCCAATCACCTGGCACTCCTGTGGTCATGTAACCCCCTCATCAGGGCTGGCCTACACCTGCTGGATGTCCTGCTGCCTTCTTTGGCCTTTAAAGTGACAGGCAGCAAGGTGCTCTGTCACACTGTGAAAACAGTTTCTGCCTTAAAAGTAGTTGTACAACACTACGGGCATGTCTGAACCCTTTCATGCCACATGGAGGGGAGCCACCATAAGCATAGCCCCCTCCTGGCTGCAAATCCAGGAAATGGGTCATGGAGCCATCTTAAAGCAGCACTGAGTATGCATCCCCTCACTACTCTTAGGCCATCTGCCTTAAGTGTGCTTATTGGCATGTCTTCAGCTCCGTCCTAAGGCAGCCACATCACCTTATTTCCAATATTTGGTGTGTGCAGAACAGCATTGAGTGGCTGGGGTGTCTTTTCAGGTACAAGATGGTGGCAGTTTACTTGAGCCTTAGAAACCTGCTTCTCCTGTCCCACTGGTGACAATGAGGTGTTAGGAAGCCACAAAGGCTGTGCCCCTAAAAAATCAGTGGAACCAAGAAGCCATAGTACCCTTGCTTTCCGATTTGTAAACAATATTTTACACAGGTGCAAATGAGAGTACGTGGTGTAAAGCAGTGGAAAATTAAGTCCAAAGTCTTTTTATGAGTCTGTAATGGGTAATGCAATCATTGAATATTATTCAGTAGAAGAGCTGAGGATTTTTTTTCCATTGATAATGTCAGTTTGTTGCCTAAAGAGCAATAATAGCTGGGGCCAGAGAGGAGACTAGGGCATTAGGTAGTCAAACAACAAGTTGGACTACTTCATGCACAAGCGGAGGGCAACAAAAATGGTTAGGAAGCTATGGCATTTGACTAATGAGAGAACTGGGCTTATTTAGTCTGCAGAAGACTAAGGGGGGATTTAATAGTAGCCTTCAACTCCCTGAAGGATGGTTACAAAGAAGATGGAACTAAACTGCTGTCAGTGGTGGCAGATAACAGAACAAGGAGCAATGGTCTCAAGTTGCAGCAAAGGAAGCTTAGTTTGGATATTAGGGAAAACTATCTCACGGTGGGGGGGGGAGGGGGTAGACAAAACAGGGGCCCCAAATTGAAGCAGTGGATTTTTAAAAACACTGCTTCAATTTAGGGCCCTTTAAACCCCCGTGTCATGCATACACCCAAACATACCTGCCTCTCTGGTGGCGTGGAGGGGAGGACTATCTGCTGGTAGGTAGAGTAGTCCCTGGGCTCCAGGCGGGGGCTGGTGCTTCCCTCTGCAGCAGCGGTGGCCCCCCATAGTGCTACCTGCCTGCAGGCACCTGGCTCGGACGGTCTCAGGGGGCATGACAGCCATGGAGGGAAGCACCGGGCCCCAACGCAGCTCAGGCAGGCAGGCAGGCTCCAGGGGAAAAAAATAAATTGATCAGGCTCATCACTTTTCTTGGGAGGAGCCTGCCTTCCCAGGCTGCTGTCAGGCTGCATGCATGGGCTTCCTGCAGAGCCCCTGAGCTGCACAGAGCCCAGTGCTTCACTCTGCAGTTGTAGGGCAGCAAAATAAAACTCCTCAGAGGAGTTTTAGTTTGCTGTGCCCTAAGTCATTTAAGAGGTGTACTTGGTAGCTGTGTTGGTCTGAGACAAAAAGACACAAAAAACTAGAACTCTTGGTTCCAAAATGATACCTTTTATTAGACCAACTGGAAATGGCAAGAAAATTGTCCTTTTCTGCAAGTTTTCGTGATCAAAGTCCCTTCGTCAGGCTCTGGGAAAAGCGTAGATGGTACAAGATGGTAAAAAGTCCCCATAGGTAGGAAATAAATTTCATTTTTGCACAGAGGGAGCTGAAGATGGAAGTCTGTCCCTCTGGGTCCATACGAGTGTCTTTGTGAGCTGTGCTGAGTAGCTCTTTGATGTGCTGATCAGGTAGAATTCCTCCCCTGGAGGTGTCAGATGGCAGGCAGGGAGGCAAAAAAGAGCCTGACGAAAGGACTTTGATCCCAAAAGCTTGCAGAAAAGGACAATTTTCTTGCCATTTTCCAGTTAGTCTAATAAAAGGTATCATTTTGGAACCAAGAGTTCTAGTTTTTTGTGTGTCTTTTTGTCTCAGACCAACATGGCTACCAAGTACACCCCTGAAACATGGAAGAGGCCAAATTTTAGCCAATTTTTTAGTCTGGGATCCTGGGAGTTTTTAAGACCCAGCTATACAAAGCCTTGGCTGGGATGATCTAGTTGGGGGTGGCCCTGCTTTGAGCAGGCGGTTTGATTAGATGACCTCCTGACCCTCATTTTCTATGATTCTAAGTTGTGAAGTATCCTGGCAGCATTTCTAAACCATAACTTTCTGACAAGAAGTCAACATTTTCCATGGAAAGCAGATACTTTTCATGAACTATTTAATTTAACAGAAAACCCAATTTCCCCACTGAAAAAGCATTGCAGACATTTTTACCAGTCATATTAAATAAAAATTTTCATAAAGTTTCTACAAATGTACTGAATAGCAAATCAAAAACGACCGCTCCATGGATATAGCATTTTCTGTATCCCCTGCTCTCAAACAACATCCAGATCTGCATATTTTATCAATGAGGTAACAGTGTCAGTAAATTACCTTATAAAAACAGAAATTGGATGAAGTGAAAAGCTGTGTGATTAGTACAAATCTTGGGCAGGAAATGCATGATAAGCATGGAAGCAGATTTCATCAAAATCAACCTTTGTCTTTTTTGCTACTTTGTCTTTTTCTAAATTAGTACCTAGGAAATGGAAAATGAGAAAGGCCAATACTTTGAGTAGATACAAGAGAAGCATTAGGACCCCTAGCTCTTTAAATCAATTTTATTTACTATCCTTTCATGCTCTTCAACAGCTTTGCCAACTGCACCCTTGTCAGAACAGCAGATGAGACTATAGATGACGCATTTCTGGAGACTGTGTGGGTGGAAAATGTCAAACAGAACCAGGAAAGAGAGAAGCATAAGCTTATCTCAACTTTAATGCACAAACAAGCACACACAGTGTGCAGATGGCCAAACAATCCCTGTAAGGAAAATCAAAAAGATGACAAAGCTGCCTGAACAATTTCTTCACAGAAAGGCCTAATTTAAAAAGCTGCAGAAATCCAATTTGGAAATGACAGCTTAAGGTCCAAGCAAAATTACCAAAGTACTTGTACAGTGTTACAAACCCAAGTATATATTACACGCACACACGCATACACACATACACAATCTTGCTAGTTTTAATTAATACTAAAATCACCAAAAGGTTTGACATGAGCTCTGGACTCTCATTTTTAACTCTAGCAGCCTCTGAGGACACCCTAGGGAACCTGCAAGCAGTGCTGAATTTATGTTAAGACTGATCTTAAGTATTGTGAAAAACAACCCTGGTACCTCTCATAATAGCTAGATGAAGTGAATCTTTCTCCTTAGCTGCTTATCTTTCTCTGTACCTCTCCACTCTTCTCTCCCACCTCGCCTTCCATTCCAGCTCTGCATTCTAGATAATATCATGGGTGAAATCAAACCCAATGCTATCAGCAATAAAACTCTCATTGACTTCAGCAGAGCCAAGATTTTGTTTACTGTCAGGACGGATCCCACATGAGAAGGAGGAGGTACTGAATAACCTTAAAGATCATTCCTTACTTGGCTGCCTTCTCGATGTACTCCCCTTCATTTTTTTTCTTTATCTCTCTATTGCTAGCTCCACCCTCACTGTCATATTCTGTTCCCCATATTTTACTTCTCTCTGAGTATTAGGGAGCCAATGACCCACTTAGAGGCAGTAAATTAAATACTGTATGACAACAGGAAAGTTTACAGAAATGATTGCTTAAGTCAAGAAAGAGGAAAGGTGTGGTGCATGGTTAAAATATGCATTTAACTAATTAATTTAACTCTTAAGCCAAAGCTACTAATTTGCTAAACAAAGAAAAAACTGTGGCACAAAGGGAACCCAAACTTCACATTTTTTCTACCTACTATGTTTTGATATAAGTATATTTATGTAATATTGGTCTTGTGTAGTATGCACACATAGTGTCCTCGACTCTGCTACTTAGGCATTAAGGTCATGTCAAGTTCATGAAAATATTTTTCCATATTACACTGTTCACAAAGTATTCCTTATATATAAAGCACACTTCTGCTCTTGACTGAAGAAATAGCATTTACAGATATTTAAAATCACATTAAAAAAAACAGAATTGGCACACTTTGCAAACTAAATTCAAACCACATGATTCCAATGAAGAAATAGGAAACAACCCAATAGTCACTGATCTTCATTAACCTATTTATGCCATCTGATACCGCAATTCATTTTATTTAACTGTACAATGTTAAAGAAAATCCCCGTATGTCAAATGAAGCTATTGTCTCAGTAAACGATAAATTCGAAATGCTTAGATCATTTCATGGTATGTTGACAATTTAGTTCTTGATGTGCCTTTTATTTATTTTCCCCTTTTTCAAATGCATAACTTTCTCTTTCATCTTGAACTTAAGTTTCATGATGAAATTATAATGAGTGCCACAAGCAAGTTTCAGTATATTTTTTCCAGCTGTCTGCTAAGTCACTAAAGCAAAAGAAACTTAGCTGCAAAATAAGAAATAAAAAATAATCAAAAATAATGTCTTAAAATTTGAAAAGCACAGGAACTTTAAGGCACGGGGACTGAAGATTACCATACTGTATATTAGTATAGATCTTACATTAGTTTAGTAAAGAAAAAGTGCCTTTCAACTTTCTCCTTAGCCAAAAAAGAAAAAAAAAAAGAAAAGAAAGTACCCCCACTCCTTGAACTAACTTAACCCTTTTTTTTCTAACTGAAAAATATTACAGGAAAATACTGTAAAACCACCTTTTTAAAAACAGATTTGCTAGTAACCAAAAGTGTAATTAAAATGATGTTGAGACTGCTTTATAGCTTCATTGCCCTGGGTTCATTTTTAGAGTCTGATACAGTAAAAACCCAAAGGACAGGAGCATACCTATTGAATTCAGTGGGATGCATTCACATGCTCAGGATTTTGCTAAATGGGAGTCTTGAGGCTTCATGCAAAGTCCAGCACAGATAACAGGAATCTTTCCTCTAACTACAGTAAGTTCAAGACCTCGTTCTGAAGATTTCTTTTTTGGCTGAAATTTTCCATAAATGGTTTCTATCCAATTTTGATTTTTTTTAAGGCAAAGGTTGATTAAGATCTTTTTGCCAGTATCTGACTTGTATGAGAGTAAACAAATACAGTTCATACTAAAAAACAGGATTTTGATACTTTTTCTTTGAACATATACGACTCAGAAAATAGATGCATGTCCTGAGCTGAAATTTTCCAGGTTTCTTGCTCACACTGAGAACTAATTTCTGACCAATAACAGATGTATACAGGATTGAATGTATACAGATGCATCCAGGATTGAAAACTGGAATTTGTACATATGTGGTATGAAATGTAGTCATGTTACTATTTATAGGACTATGGAATTGAGTGAAAAAATGTCAGTACTAGTTACATAGATATAGTTCTATGTTGCAGTTTTACTACAGACCTCTATAGTGGCAAACATTTTTTACTTAATTAGTTGTGGAGGTGTGACAGGCAAATCAATATGTAAATTAACGTAATACAATTGTTTTTCTTCCGTTATTTAAAAAAATGATCATTAATTCATTCCATTCCATTAATTAATTCCATGATCATTAATTCATCCCAGCACCCCACTGACACTAATACATCCATGGTGTTAAAGAAACTACATGTTACACAAAATTGGGATGCACCTCAATAAGTACACTTCCTCCATGGGTCCTACAAAGGGAGACAAAGTGACTTGCTCAAGGTCACACAGAATATCAGTGAAGAGCATGGAACTAACCATGGGTCACCCTTCCTGCCCCTTCAACAATGGTAAGTTACATTTATAAATATATCTCATAGTAATGTTGCACTATTTTAAGCCTTCCAGAATTGGAAAATACCATATTTACTCAAATACAAGATGAGTATTCCCCACCCCACCCCCCCCTGTCAGCATGGGGTTAAAGCCCCTCATTTTATATATGTGTACAAGGAAACCTCATTGAATACATTGTTTATTAAACTGCTGCCAAAAGCAACATATGCTTAGTAACAGAAGCCAATTTATGAAACTAACTAAACGCAGCCAACACTGAGCATGACTATGAAACACATAGCTACCACAAGGATAGGTTAGTACAGCACATCTGAATAGAACAGATGACCATGCCCTTTACTGTCCCTTGCAGTGCTGACTCTTTTTCAAATCATGGTGAGCCACTAAATTGAATACATTTTGACTTCTTCTCTTTCACAACTGAGATGCTCCTTTCTTTCCCATTTCCAATTATTTCTGTTTCTTCACCAGCCTTAAATGTCTGGCAAACATCACTAAACAAGGCCCCAAACAGTTCCTCCAAAATCCCTCTCTTGTCTGCTCTCTCAGCCTGTCACATATGATTAGTATGGCCCTGCCCTCTATGGCCACATCCAGATGTGTGTGGATGTTTGGTTCCCTGGGGACAACTAGTAGCAGCACACCTTGCATTGCCATTACATGTCCCCAGGGAATGCCCGTGCCATGTGTACTCTGGCGCATGGCAAGTTGTCCCATACCAAGGTCGGGTACAGGAGGCCAGGGACAGCACTGGGCTGGCCCCAGCAGTCTTGCCAGGGAGCCTGGGGGCCTCCCAGGGCTGCAGCTGCATTGCTTCTGCCGCGCAGAGCCCGGCCAACAGTGGAGTGCATCTCCAGCCATCCAGGCTCCAGCTTTGGGTGGCACACACTGATGTTGTGTGCACCACTCTGCCTTTTTTTCAGCAGGTTTTTTGACCCCTGGATATCACACTGCTCCCTTGCAGAGCAAAAAACAATGGAACATGTGGTATGTGGTGCCACAGACCACACAGCTGTGCTCATCTGGATGTGGCCTATGGGCGCATCCCCATGAGTGGGAGCATGTGCTTCCTGGGGGATAAACATCAGCAGCACATATTTGTGCATCTGCTATTTGTCCCTGGGCATGCTCCTGCACCTGCATTATGGTGTGTGGCAAATTGCCCTGGGTGGGGTAGGAGAGGCTGGAACCAGCACCTGGGCTGGCCTCAGCAGCTTTATCTGAGGTTCTGGGGGCCTCCTAAGGCAGCAGTATTGCTGACCCAGCTGCTCAGAGCCTAACTGGCAACCAAAGCATGGCTCTGGCTGGCCAGGCTCCCTTTCTGGTGATGTGCACTGCTGCTGCATGCACCATGCAACTTTTTTTTTTGCAGTGTCATTTTTTTACACCAGGATCATGCCCTATGAGGTAGAGCTGGACCAGGTTCCCTGCATCCATCTGCGTATAAATTTTTGGAGGTTTCCAGAACTCGTAGTCCTAGTCATGAGTAGTGGACTAATTTACACCACACACATACTGAGCAGTGCTGAGCTATGGACCATGGCTTGAAAAGCTGTTGAGTCTGCTGGGGCACAGTCCAATAAACTATATGATAAATCATAAGCCTTTTGGCTTTGGACTAATATCATGCATAGTGTATACTATATATAAGCAGATACAAAAGTGCTGTTTAAAAGTTTGTTTATGGCGTACCTGTGCTAAAACCTGCGGCAATTTCAAAAAAAGTAAACTGCACTGACTCTGCATGAACTAAGTCTATGGGTACCTGTAATAATTGCTTATATGCAAATTTCTACAGGCATGTTTATTTCAAGGTCAGTGTTTTCATATTTTCTCCTCACTTCCATGTGTTCAGGGAGAGCAGGGTCTGACAGTAAAGGATGTGGGGAGAGGGACTGTAGGGGGAAGAAGCTAGTGGGGCAGGGGCCAAGGGGGCTACCTGACCCCTGGATTTATTTTCCCAGCTGTAGCAGTGGGAGGGGCACAAATTCAAGGCAAACCTCTAATAATTCAATTCTATGCCTGGAAAATTATAACAAATTTATAAACTTTCCATACACAGAATCTCATTATTGGGGGGTCACCTCATATTCGATTAAATATGGTATAAAATTTAAGGAGACAAAGCAGCCCACACATCAAGGCTAACACAGACAGTGCTACCCCCCACAACAGAAGCCAATATACCTGCACCAGCAATGGGCATGCTGTGTGGGAGTCTTAGTATTAACTTTAGTCTCCTAAAGTACTATATTGCACATGAACTAAATTTATCTCCGATGTAAATCTCTAATATCACTAAAGCAGTGCCAGAGTTGGCTCAGAGACTATTTTACATTGCTGGTTATACTGTTAATTATACTCCATGTTATTGAGGAGGCGATTTTTAACCCCAGAAATGTACCATGAGCTCAAACCAAATTTAAAACAAATAGCACAGATGTATCTGAGGGTGGGATGGACACTTATGGGCTCATTCCCATTCTCTAAACAGG